TCAGGGTTTTGAACTCAATGTCCTGCTAAGGCGTAAGGGAGCCCTCTGAATCTTTGATCCTGAACGTGGACAACCTAAGACCCTATAAACCCTGAACCCTATGAAGCCCCATGAACACCATAAACCCTTGAAACCCTATGCCCTACACCCTAAACTCTAAACCCTAAACCGGAATCCGATCCTGAACCTGGCCATCTCTACACCCCCCAAAACTAAACAGGCCCTAAACACTAAACACCAAACCCTAAACGTGAAGGGTTAATCCCTATTGAGGACTGCTAGTTTAAGGGGGACATCCCAACCCTAAACCCCAAAAACCCTAAAAGCCTGAAACCTTAAGGTGCTGGCCTCATTGCGGACCAGCACAAAGTCGGGTTGGATGGTAATCCTCCTCCCTGCCTCGAGTCCTACACGGGAGCTTGGTACTGAGGGATTAGGGTTTAGGATTTGGAGCTTTAGGATTTGGGGGTTTAGGGTTTGGGCTTAGGGATTTGGGGGTTAGGGGTTTAGGGTTTAGGATTTGGGGGTTAGGATTTGGGGGTTTAGAGTCTGGGGGTTTAGGGTTTGGGGCTTAGGGGTTTGGGGAAGTGAGGGGCTTTGGGCTTGAGAGGGTGAGAATTAGGGCTCAGGGGGTTATGGGCTGAGTTGGGCTCAGGTTGTTTTTGTTACTTTGGAGGGGTGGGGGGGGGGGGGGGTGGTTCAGGGTCTAGGGTTTAGGGTTGAAGGTTTAGGGCATAGGGCTGGGGAAGGAGTGAGAACGATTTTGGGCGGGGTAGTGCCAGTGTCGCGCCAGTGGCTTCTGAGCCAACGAAGCCTACCCCAAATCAGCACAAGACAACCCAACTCAAAGTGCGAAAAAAACACAAACACCCTGAACCCTAAACCCTTGTTGCCTCGACCCTATAAACCCTAAACCCTAAACCTTATTAAACCCTAAACCCTAAACCCCAAACCCGAAACCCTAAACCCTAAACCTAAACCCTAAACCCCAAACCCGAAACCCTTAACCCCCCTACTTGTTGTTTGAAGAGCCCGACCTGGGCCAGAGGCAGTGGGCGCGAGGCGCAGGATCTCCACGCAGATCCCGGTGGAGGAGTAGGTGCTCACGTGCACGTGGATGTCTGCCCAGCCTGCTCGGAACCCTCATTTAGGGTTTAGGGTTTAGGGTTTGGGGTTTGGGGTTTGGGGTTAGGGTTTGGGGTTTGGGTTTAGGGTTTGGGGTTTAGGGTTTGGGGTTTAGGGTTTAGGGTTTCGGGTTTAGATTTTAAGGTTTTCGGGCTTCGTGTAGGGCCCCCTTATACAGCAAGACCTCTACGTAGCTTCAGTCACCAACGTGTATCCTGCACTACACCCACAGGACCCTCCTGACACCCAAACCCTAAGTTCTAGACACTGAATCCTCCACCCTTAGACCCTAAACCCGAAAAAATGCTGGAGCCGAAGTCCTGAACCCTAATCCCCAACCCTAAAACCCTAAAAAGCGAACACCCTAAACCCTAAAACCCTAAATCCTGAACCCTAATCCCAAACCCCAAACCCCTCAAGCGCAACTCTGGGTGCCTACTAGACCTGCAAAAGTGTAACCTAACCTGGACACCCCCTCCCCAAATTTGGCTACTCTTTCTAGGGGTTTAGGGTTTAGAGCCAGGGTTTAGGGTTGAGGATTGCTGGGTTTGTAAGTTTTTGGGTTTCAGGGTCTTAGGGTTTAGGGTTTTAGGGTTTTGGGGTGTCCGGGCTTCGAGGTGCAGTCTGACATAGCAAGACACATTGGGTAGCCACGAAAAGGAAGTCTGTGTAACGCCAAGCCCTAAACCCCAAACCCTACAACCTAAACCCCAATCCCCGTCGCGCGTAGCCTGTCTGGTAGACGGCAATGGGACGACCGTCCTCGAAAGTGGAGGTCGATCGAAGTCATACAACCCTTTCCTATACAGGGTTTAGGATTAGGGTTACGGGTTTAGGCTTTAGGGTTTGCAATACTGAACTTGGACCCCTAGCAAAAAGGTAGACTTTTAGCTGTTTCTTTGGAGTTATAGTACCCAAATCATAAAAAATATCCCCAAGTTGCTTTAAGTGTATTTCCATGAAGAACAAACAATAATTAGAGAGGAAACCTCACCAAAGGCTCATCACAAAAGTCCGTGGATGTGTCGAAGACCACGATGCTGTGCAGATTCAATCGGCATGTGGGCTTGTAGGCATCGTTGCCATCCGGAGTCGGCCCCTAAAACTGATATCTGCGAATATGTCCAAAACGAGAGGCTCCTAAACCCATCAATCGGGGGAAAACCCAGATCATCCCAATCTCCTATAAGCTAGGGTTTAGGGTTTAGGGTCTACGGCCTAAACCCGAAACCCTAAATCCTGCCCAGCAAAAACCTTCGTGCGATGTCATCTGTGATGGGGTTTCAGTGCTGGGCTGCACAGCAGTGGTTGCAAACCCTCCTAAACCCTAAGCCCTAAGCCCTAAACCCTAAACCCTAAACCCTAAACCCTTGCACTTGGCACAAGTTCGATCATCTTGGCACATCCAGCAACAAGGCTGAGGCAACACAGTACTCTGCCAGCCCCTAAACCCTAAACCCTGAACCCTAAGCCCTAGACCCTAAACCCTACACCCTAAACCAGATCAACTTACACCCAAACGATCGAGGCCCTAACCCTGAACCCTAGACCCTAAACTCTAAGGTCTGAACCCTCAAGCCCAAAGCCCTCGTCAAGCTCCCCCCCCTTGGGGACTAAACAAATCCTGAAAATCCTTAACCTCGAACCTTTGATCCTAAACACAAAACCCTTAAATCCGAAACCACAAGCCCTGACCCCTGAACCACAAAGCCCTAAACCACGAACCCCAAACCCCCAAGCCCCAAACCCCTGAAGACAAAACCCAAGCCCTCAAAAACCTAAGCCCCAAACCCCTAGATTCTAGGCCCCTATATCCAAAACCCCAAGCCCCAACCCTAAACCAGAAAACCCTCAACCACCCAAATCCCAAACCCCAAAATCACAAAACCCTAAACCACAAAAGCCCGACCCCTAAACCCTAAACCCCACACCCCGCACCCTAAACCCTAAACCCGAAACCCAAACCACGAAACAAATCCCTAAACCCCAAACCCTAAACCCTAAAAAAGCTCCTGGAGGGTGGCACCCTGGAGGATGGTTGGCCAGTCGTAGTCGTCGGCCTGGAGCACCAGGAGCTTCACCTGTCTCGTAGGCTTGGGTTTAGGGTTTTCAGGGTTCAGGGTTCAGGGTTCAGGGTTTAGGGTTTAGGGTGTAGGGTTTAGGTTTTAGGGTTTAGGGGGGTTCGGGTTTAGGGTTTCGGGTTTAGGGTGTTTTGGGTTCAGGGTTTAGGGTTTAGGGTTTGGAGGAATGAAAGGTTCAACGGGTTCGGTTTACACGAAACCCGAAACCCTGAACCCTAAGCCCCAAACCCTTTAAAGGGGATTCAAGGGTGCTTGGTGGTTGCTTCGCGATGTTTGGGGGTTTGAGGGTATAGGCATTGGGGCTTGGGTAGGGTCTCTTCTTGAAGGTTCATGGGTACAACCATGCATGGCGGGGTTTAGGGTTTAGGGATTTGTAAGGTCCAAGTGGTCAGAACCTGGTTTTGGGTACTGAAAGCCCTGCTTACAAAGACTCATAACAGCCCCAAAGCCTCCTTCTTTCGCGGGTTCTATACGGTGATAACACCTTCTGCAACTCCTCAAACCTAAACCCTAAACCCTAAACCCTAAACCCTTACCAAAACAAGAAGTAGGTATCTTTGGGTAGGGCTTCCTGGGAGTGAGATGAGCTCCTGGCTTCATGTTGGGCCAAGTTACGGGGCCTCGTCTGGACTCTCATTTATGTTTAGGGTGGAAGCCTCCTCCTTGCCCCTAAACCCTAAACCCTAAACCCTAAACCCTAAACCCTAAACCCTATAAACCCTAAACCCTAAACCCCGCATCCAAGCCCTGAGGAAGCAACCGCATGCATCGCACCCAACAGACACCGTGGGGTTGTCTAAGCCCAAAACCCCAACACAGCCTGAACCTAAAACTCAGAACCCTAAACTCAAGACCCTAAACCCTAAACCCTAAACCCTAAACCCTAAACCCTAAACCCTAAACCCTAAACCCTAAACCCTAAACCCTAAACCCTAAACCCTAAACCCAAACCCAGAAATCCAGACCGGGCACCGGCTTAAGGCCAGCAGCAGCAGCAGCGGCAGTGGCGGCACTGGGGGCCGAAGTTGCTTTAGAGAATGGGTTCCACATGGCCCGGATCCACCCTGACCCGAAGTACACTGCGGCTACACTGCGAAGCTTGAGTCGGCGAGTGGCAGCAGGGCGCATTCAGGTGTCAGTGAGCCCTGGCTGTAAACTCTCGGCCCTTTCGGGGTTTGGCGTAGAGTTTTGGGCAGGGACCGTGCCGCACCATGGTGAGTACCTCGCCTATTCCTCATGATTCACGCTACTGGATGGAGTTGGAAGGTATCTTAGAAAAGGTGAAACCCGAAACCCTAAATCCCTAAACCTCTAAACCTTGTGAAGTTCGGCCGGAATGATGGCTTTCAAAGCGGGACGCATATATCAGGGTTTGGGGTTTGAAGGGTTTAGGATCTACCAGGATCCTATAATCCCCATAATGAACCCTATAAAGGGCCTTTTAAGGGATTGTAGGGCATCAAAGCCCATCCTGGTAAGGTTTGGGGTCTAGGGTTGGAAGGCCGGTGGCTCCTTGCAGAAAAAACCTGTGCAGTCCGTCACTCACCATCTATAGGCGGATGCTCATACAGGGGGCGACATGGTTTCCGGAAAGCTTGGGACCATGAGCCCTGAATTTTAAGCTTGCAACCCTAAACCCTAAATCCTAAACCCCAAACCCTAAACCCCACACCCTAAACCCCAAACCCTAAACATCCCTGAACATCCCTAAAACCCCAAACCCTAAACTCCCCAAACCCTGAACCCTAAACTCCCGAACCACCTCAAGCCCTCGGCCCGTCTGGGCGCGCGGACACTGAGGACTTCTCTGCTGGTCGCAGGGGAGAACATCTGAGGAACGACCTGGCCAGGAAAGCCCTGGAAACCGAAAGTCTGATAATTAGCTGAGTATACCCTAAACTCTGAACCCTAAACCCAAAACCCGAAACAGTAGCCCTAAACTCTGAAACCCTGAAACCCTGAAACCCTGAAACCCCAAACACTAAACCCTAAACCATAACCCTGAGCCCTAAAGCCTAAACCCGAATCACCTCAAAGTGTGGGCCACGAAGCTGCAGCAAGGCCTCCAGGAAAGCCCTACACATCCCTACACATCCCCCTACACTAAACCCCCAATATCAAGGCCCTTGATTTTGGGGGTTTAGTGTTTAGGGTTTAGGGTTTTGGGATCCCTACACTAAGCCCCAATATCAAGGCCCTTGATTTGGGGTTTTTTTAGTTCTTAGGGGTTTCGGGTTTTGGGTTTATCTGGAGGACTGCCTGTGCCTTGTGGAATATGCGGGCCATATTCAGCAAAAAGAACGAATGCAACAACCTATATAGACAAGCGGTACGAGTTTCGATCCCCGTGATCGAGCCCTGAAGATCCGCAACCACAAAACTAACTCTATCAAACCAGAATCCCAACGCTTGCCTTGCGAGGTGGTGTGCACAGAACATAGGCACACACACCCTAGCCCACAACCCTAAACCACAAACCCTAAATACCCAGTCCCTACAACCCTCCCAAAAAGCCGCTGCCATATAAATAAAACCCCATGAACCCTCTAAACCCTATAAACCCCATAAACCATATAACCCCTATAACCCCTTTAAACCCCTTTAAACCCCTTTTAAACCCCTAACAACCCCTAAAAACCCCTTTAAACCCCTATAAACCCCATAAACGCCACAAACCCCGTAAACCCTAGAAAACCCATAAACCCCATAAACCCTATAAACCCCATTAATCCTAGAAACCCCATAAACCATATAAACCCCATAAACCCCATAAACCCTACACACCCCATAAACCCTACAAACCCCTGTAAACCCCACAAACCCCATAAACCCTATAGCCCCTATAAACCCCATAAACCCCTCAAACCCCATAAAACCCATAAACCCCATAAACCCTTTAAACCCTACAAACCCCATAAACCCCATAAACGCTATAAACCCAGTAAACCACACAAACCCCATAAACCCCATAAACCCCTAACCCCCAAACCCCATAAACACTACAAACCCCATAAACCCCCATAACCCCCCCCCCATAAACCCCCATAAACCCCATAAACCCTAAACCCTAAATCCTAACACCCTAAACCCCATAAACCCTAGAAACCCCATAAACCCTGTAGGCCGCCGTAGTGTCGGCCTCCGGGCTTTCGGACTCCGGTAGGTGGATCGATGAAACGTTGGAGGAGACCTGGCGGAGGGCGAGGGGTTAGGGTTTAGGGTTTAGGGTTTAGGGTGTAGGGTTTAAGGTTTAGAGTTTGGGGTTTGGGGTTTAGGGGTTAGGGTTTAGGGCTGAGGATGCTGGGGCTTTAGCTAATCTGGGGTTTCCGACATTAGGGGTTCCTTATTGGGTTCCTTGTTATCAGGGAATCCTACTACTTGGGGGGGAGGCTATATTAGGGGCCCCTTATTTCGTAAGCTCCCATACTTGGGCCTCTTGCAACTGCAGGGTTTAGAGTTTCAAGGCTTTCGGGGGTAGGGACTCGAAGGCGAGCTTTATGGTGGTTGTTAAATTTCGGGTGGCTGGGGACTGACGTGGTGGAGTTTGCCGAGGGGTTCTATGAAAGAGCCCTGTATACCCCTTCACAAGCCCGTAACACCACCTAAGCCATCTAGAAGACGACTCTTCCGAAAAGTGTCTAGGGCTTGTCCTCCAACAAAAGCAGAGACGCAGCCCGGAAGCTAGCATACGTTTGCAAAGTCATCCCAGTGTCTTGCTGCTGGGCTCTAGTTTCCAAGCCCTCAATCCTGAAACCAGTAGTCGCACCGCCTGTAGTTCACGAAATAACTACGAAAAGATAAGACGCAATAGAGGGATTACTTTTTTTGTATTGTTTGGGGGCTCTTCAGCAAATAGTAGATATTGCCAGGTCCCACGTATGCCAACGGCAAGAAAGCCGACTAGGACGCCGAACTTGAAACCCACCCTGAACCCGAAACCCTAAGCCCTAAGTAAACCCGAACTTTCCATCGTAGTGCATCCCTTCGCGTGCGCGCGAACTCCGGCGCAGCGCAGCCCGACTTCGCCCCGCCCCCGCGAACCTCCGACAAGCGACGGCGGTGGCTTCTCGAGCCGGCAGATGCCTGGGGTTCAGCAGGGTTCAGGGTTCAGGGTTTAGGGTTTAGGGTCTAGCTAGGATGACCCATGAACCCCCTGAAAAATATTCCTGAATGTGATCCTCTTAAACTCAATAAGGGAAAACATGAAATGTCCCAAGGGCATACCTAGATGAGGGCTTTTAGGTCTTAGGATGCTTTGGTAGGTGCAGGGCTTTTCAGGGTTTAGGGTCTTCGGCTAGGGTTCTTTTAAGCTTAGGTTCAGGCGATCTCCTAGTGGGGGCTTTAGGCAAAACGGCTTGGCTTAGGGTTAATTCTCGGGGTACTTACATGGTCCCTTAGTATGGGCCCGTAGAAGGATACCCTTACATACTCCTTATATACCCTTAATTACACACATAACATATTAAGGGACCATGAAAGTACCCTTAGATTAATGAGGTTGCTTGGGTCCTCGGGTTGGGGCCTGCAGGCTGCTATGGTCCTGGGGACATTGGGGATCCCTGAAACTGTGCGGCTGGGTTGGGGGCGGGGTGAGGGCTGGGGTGTGTGGGGGAGCTCTCTGAGTGCGCGTATATGCATCTATACCCTAAACCCTGAACCCTAGTATGTTATATGTGGAAAATACACACACCCCGTAACCGTAAACCCCTCAACCTCCCTAAGCCCTAAACCCTAAACCCTAAACCCTGAAGCCTCGAAGCCTGCATCGTTCCGAAGAACGTGGCCTCCGATGGGCTCTCGTCGTCTAGGTCCGTGCCTGCCGCCGGAGTGTATACCCTAAACCCTAAACCCTAAACCCTATAAACCCTAAACCCTATACCCTTTTCACAACCCTAAACCCTAAACCCTATAGACCCTAAACCCTAAACCCTATAAACCCAAAGACCCTAAACCCTAAACCCTAATTAAACCCTAAACCCGAAAAAAACCCAAAGACCCTAAACCCCAGAAGGGGTTTTAGGGTCCTGTGGTCCCCGCGCGTAGGTCGCAAGAGGAAAGCAGAGAGATGGTTCGCCCTAAACCCTGAACCTTAAACTTAAACCCTCAACCCCAAACCCTAAACCCTAAGCCCCCCCCACCCTCCAAGCCTAGGGTGCTTGGCAGCCTGCACCGGTCTTTTCTTGGCGCTGCGAAAGCATTTCGACTCTAGGGCCGGATGGCTGGATTTAGGGTTTGGGGTTTAGGGTTTAGGGCTTAGGGTTTAGGGTTTCGGTGTGTGGTTTGGGCTTTAAAAGGCGGGGCTTCGGGTTTAACAAGGTTGACCTGTAGCCAAAGAGATTACAGGCACTGCTCTAACCCTGAACGCCCTAAACCCTCACAACCCTAAACCCTAGTAGGCTTTGCTCCCTAAACCCTAAACCCTGTTAAGGCTCACAGCGAGTTCCAAATCGGAGGACGGATCACTGCTGGCTTGTGGGCGCAGTGGCAGTGGCGGCCTCATCCTGTTCGATTTAGGGTTCAGGGTTTAGGGCTTAGAGAGTTCGAGGACTAAAAGCTAACTTTAGAAGCCCCAACCCTTCGTTTGGAAGGTTGCGATGTATTCGTGCAGTGTAATGGCAAGAAATTCTTGCCAGGTGCGGAAGGCCCCCCCTCCCCCCCCCTCCCCTCCCCTCCTCCCCCGCTCCCCCCCTACCCCCACTCCCCCTCCCCCCCCTTCCCCCCTCCTTCCTCCCCCACCCTTTTTTCCCCTCCCCTCCTTTTCCCCCCCTCCTCTCCCCCCCTCCCCCCCCTCCACCCCCCTCCTCCCCCCCCCTCCCCCCCCCTCCTCCCCCCCTCCCCCCCCCTCCTCCCCCCCCCCCCCTCCACCCCCCGTCCTCCCCCCCCCCTCCCCCCCCCTCCTCCCCCCCCCCTCTCCCCCCCCCTCCCCCCGCCCTCCCCCCCCCTCCCCCCCCCCTATCCCCCCCCCCCTCCCCCCCCCTCCCCCCCCCCTCCCCCCCCCTCCCCCCCCCTCCCCCCCTCCCCCATCCCCCCCACTCCCCCCACCCCCCCCCCCCCCTCCTCCCCCCTCCACCCCCCTCCCCCCTCCCCCTCCACCCCCCGCCCCCCCCCCCCCCCCTCCCCCCCCCCCCCTCCCTCCCCCCCCCTCCCCCCCCTCCCCCCTCCCCCCCCTCCCCCCCCTCCCCCCCCTCCCCCCTCCCCCCCCCCCCGCCCTCCCCTCCCCCCCCTCCCCCCCCCCCCGTCCCCCCCCCTCCCCCCCTCCTCCCCCTCCCCCCCCTCCCCCCCTCCCCCCCACCCTCCCCCCTCCCTATCCCCCCCTCCCCCCCCTGCCCCCCCTCTCCCCCCCCCTCCTCCCTGCCCCCCTCCCTCACCCCCCGCCTCCCCCCCCCTCCCCCGACCTGCCCCCCTCCCCCCCTCCCCCCCCCCTCCCCCTCCCCCCTCACCCCCCCCTCCTCCCCCCCCCCCTCCCCCCTGCCCCCCCCTTCACCCCCCCCCTCCCTCCCCCCCCCCCTCCCCTCCCCCCCCTCCCCCCCATCCCTCTCCCTCTCCCCCCCCCCTCCCCCCCCCTCCCCCCCCCTCCCCCCCCCTCCCCCCCTCCCCCCCCCCAAAAAAAAACACGACACCAACAAAACAAAACAACAAAAAGCCTAGATATAACTTAAGGCTTGAGTCTTGCTTATGTGTTCCTAGGGTCTTGCTGCGTTGGGGATCTTAGGGGGTAATTGTTGAGGCTTGTCGGGTGGGATAGAGTTTAAGGTGGAATTTTGAACACGAGGCCACAGATCCCCTCGCACTTTCTGCAGCTCTGGCTGGGCTTCAAGGCCAAGGCAGGTTTAGGGCGTTGATGTCAATCATGGCTCCTTCTTCAAACCCAAAGCCAAAGAATTGAAATTGAAACTCTAAAGCCTAAACCCTGCTCCAAACGCTCCGGATCCCCATTTTCTTGATTATAGACCCTGGAACGGGTGGGAGTTCCCGAAATTATTGCGGTCCTGATTATAAGGGAATCCTTCTATTTGGGGTTCTCTATTGGGGGAAATCCTAAACGGTCAACCCTGTAGGACCGTTCCAAGACAAACTCCCCAAGATTCGTCGCCTGAGCTGCTTTGTGCTCCTGCACGGGGGTGTTTCTGGGAGTTTCGGGTTTAGTGTTTATTCGACACCCTAAACCCTAAACCCTAAACCCCAAACCCCAAACCCCAAACCCTTCCATGATGCCCGCCCCCCTGCCCCCCCCCCTCCCCCCCAGGCGCGCCCTGAACTCTGAAAGCCTTCCAAAAGCAACTCCTGAGACCGCCAAAAAGACACCCATTAGGGAACCTAGAAGGTAGTGACAGGTAGTGCAACCAGTGCTCAAGACAAGGAAAGCACATGAAAGTAACCAGGAATGCAACAAACCGTTCAACAGTAACATGCACACGGCTATAAAGTACCAAGACTTGTGCTCAGCACCAAACCAGCCCAGGGAAAACCACGTGTGGGAGAAAAACCCTGGGCCTCAAGAACGCCAGCCGGCTGCCTTAAAATTGAAACCACCCAACCCAACCCCAAACCCACACCAACCCCGAACAGAAGCCCGACAAGCAACACCGAAACCACAACCACACCCCCCGAACAAACCGAAAAAGACCGCCGAACACCCTAAACCCTAAACCCTAAACCCTAAACCCTAAACCCTAAACCCTAAACCCTAAACCCTAAACCCTAAACCCTAAACCCTAAACCCTAAACCTAAAAACCCAACACCAACCCAAACAGGCCACCCCCCCCCCCCCCCCGAAAAGAAGAAGGGCGGCACCTCAGGGAACCTCTTCTTGGGTTTTAGAATGTTAGCGGTTTCGGGTGTAGGGCTTTCTTGGCTTTAGGGCTTAGGGTTTAGGGTTTAGTGCCAGCCGCCCCGGTGCCAGCCGCCCCGACCCCCCCCCCCCCGCCACCGACCATGTTTCAGCCATTCGGTTCCTGCCGGGCCACGTTTTTGTGCGGAGGGTCATAGGGGCAGGGAAAGACTATGAAGCCCAAAAGGATTTGGGCTGGATCTTCCTGGGTTTAGGGTTTATAGGGTTTATAGGGTTGTAGGGGTTGTAGGGTTTGTAGGGTTTGTAGGGTTTGTAGGGTGTGTAGGGTTTGTAGGGTTTGTAGGGTTTAGGGCGTCCAGTCCTCATAGGTCAGCAAGGTAAAACTCGGGTCCTCCGCGCGAGTGCGGGGAGGAGGGGGGTTGCGAGGGGGGGAAGATATGTCGAAGCACTAAGTGGCGCCTAGAAACCGTTGAAACAATGTCGAAAAAACCAACCTCCACAACGCAAGCTCAACAACCTCAACCCCAAATCTAAGCCTCCTGAACCCGGAAGGAAGCTTCTGCTGAACCGCTGTTTGGGAGGCTTGATGGGAGAAAGGGTTAGGGCCGGTTAGGGTTTGGTGTTTTGGGTGCTCCGATGCACGCAGCGCGGCCACCGTGTTTACTGCTTCCCGCATCCACTCCAAGCCAAGAATTAAATTACGACAACCCTTACTGAGCTTCAACGATGGAGCTCACAATGCACTTGTAGCTTGGAAAATCAGAAATAGAAGTATACTTCTCTGGTGGTTATCCAATTTTGGTACAGAGTGAGTGCTCTACACCCAACAATGGCTTATATGACGGCTTGGTTCGGATTGGGTCTCCGTTGATAAAAGGCATGAGGCGGCACCCCAAATTTCTGGCCGAGCACGGCGGTATCGAGAATGGAACCCACGCATCGTACAGAAGACTACTTTCAGAGAATGCATGGCTGGTTCTCCAAATTACGCTAGGGGGTAGCTTCAACGAAGGGCCAGGACAATCATCTGGGCCTTCTCTTCTGCACCAAACCCTACGCCTGACATCCTAAACCGTACCCTCAAACCTTCACGGGTTCCCCCTCCTACCCCCCTCAAAACCATCCCCGGCCCTGGGTTCCCCCCATAATTCAGACTATTCTGGGACACTCAAGCCTAGTTAAGGCTATTTAGGGGGGGAACCTAGAAACCTCCCTAAACCCTGAACCCTGAACCTTAAACCCTACACCCTAAGCGCGGATGCACCTCAATCATCTTGTAGATCTTCTGGATGCTCAGGGCATCTGCCTCATTCCTGGCGAAGCACAAGCAACCGCAACTGACGCCAGCCCTGGCAAAGCTCTGAACCCTAAACTCCAAACCCTAAATCCCAGGGATTTAGGGCTTAGGGTTTAGATCTACAAAGTGAAGCCCTAGAAGCCATGCGCCCCTGCGCTTATAAGGCTTTAGGATCTCTTGTTTGTCAGCAGGTTGCGTTGTTCCAAGTTTCCTTGCACTCGCACGCACGAATCTGTCTCATTTGGAACAGAAGCTTCTTTGACTCAAGAAAAGGAACCACCCTGGCCTACGGGCCAAGGCAAAAAGAAGGAGGCCGAAGCGATCGAAGATCATCGTGCGCGCGGCACTTCAAGGGTTTGGGGTTTAGGGTTTAGGGTTTAGGGCTTAGGGTTTAGGGATTAGGGTTTAGGGATTAGGGTCAATAATGGGAAGCCTCACTGACCCCACAGTCAGGGCAGGAAGCGGGACTAGGAGGGTGAGTGTGACCCTGTCAGTGTAAGGCACAGCAGCCAGCATGCCACCCGTAGAGCCCACTCCACGGCCCGAGGCTTTCTTCAGCAGCAATTTCAACTTGTCATGAAGCGGCTCAGAGGCACCCTACACCCTAGACCGGAAACCCTAAACCCTGATCAGCCACCGCCGCATCAGAACACCAGTGGAGAAGCTCACAGGTGCGCCAAGCAGGCTAGAAAGCTGCAGCTTTCGCTCAAACCCCAAACCCCAAAC